ACCATCCATCATCCCCATTTCGTAACATCCCCCTTCCTGCAATCCGATGAGATACAGGAGCACATCGGATATGGAGGATAGAGCTGAAGCGGGATTTTCTCACCTTCTCCTTCTCCCTCTCCTCCCCCACTTACTTCACTACCCCCTCTATCCTCTTCTCTCTGTCTCCGCTTCCCTTTTTTTCACCCTCATGAGCGGTTGATGGCAACAAAGGGAGGTTTGTGATGTAGTCGAAGGTGTTTTTTCCCACTCTTGAGGGTGTATTGCACTCTATTCGCCTCCCACCTTCTAATTACATGATCTGCATGGTCTATGTGCAGTCCTTGGTCGTGTTACTCGTGTACGGTTGATGATAACGTGTAATGCTTGTGGTTCGATTGAATAAGTCGTTGATGCAGTCTATTTTTTTCCCCCCAATGCGTATTTGCTTAGAATCTCTAGTATGTGAGTGGTCCTCGGTCGTACGGGCCTGTTAGAAAGGGAGATGTATTCTCCTCGTTTCATTTTCCTTTTTCGGAGTTTTGCTTTTTATCTTTTTCTTTCTCTTTTCTCTTCTCTCTTCTCTTTTCTCTTCTCTCTTCTCTCATCTCTCTTATCTCTTATCTCTTCTCTCCTCGCTTCTCTTATCTCCTCTCTTCTCGTCTCTCTCTCCTTTTTCTTTGCGATTGTCTTTCTTTCCTGACGTTTTTTCCCGGTCCTTTGCTTCGTTCTTTCTATTATGGATTTTATCTATTGGCAATGATCTGCGAGCAGTTCGTTCTTGGGAACGACTTATTGAAAGTGGGTTATAGATTAAGTGCAGGCATATACTTTGTTGGATAAGTGGATGAAAAATAGGTTGTTGCCTTTATTTGATTGGTCCTCGGAGAAGAGGCCTCCCCACCCCCCTCACTTCATTTCGCTACTTTTGCATATTTGGCTGCCTTCGTGTGGCATACTCAGTTCCACACGGGCCCAACAGGGCCCGGCCAGGTAGGCTAGGGGTCCGTAGAGTGTAGGGTCTGTGTCGTTTCAACCCACAGCTGGGGTCTGTAGGGTCGGTAGGACGGTTTGAGGCCTGAGTAGGACCGGTACCAGTTAGGGACCCTATAGGCCTCGTTTCGGCCATAGGCTTTGGTGCTCATTTTGGTGCCAAACCCGGATGAGGCCCAGCCTCAGTTTGGGTGCCAGGACTCAGCCGCTGAGGCCGACCCAGTGCTATATATAGCTGAGTCTAGCCTTAGTCCGACATTCAGTGGAGGATCGAGTGGAGGCATACTTCGGGCGAAGACAGTACAATAGTAGGTGACGATAGGACTAGTCTTACAGCGCTTGGTGCTGATAGAGTAGAGTAGCGCAGGGAGGGGGAGATGGCGGTCGCCGCCAGAGGACTTACCTGAGAATTACATGCGTGGCCATTGCTCCAGCTTCATCTTCAACACATTCGTACCTGCATCAAGGCACCACCTTTCGCAGGTCAGTACCTGGTATATATATATATATCGTCACAAACAGAACTGCCCGGTAAACCGTAGGCAGAGAGAGAGAAGAGGACAACAAACGAGGGGCTGTGACAAACTGTTTCGTCGAAGTTTCACCGACTCATATATATATATATATATATGTATATATATACGGTTCAGCTTCCTGATAAGTCGGTGAAACTCCGACGAAACAGTTTGTCACAGCCCCTCGTTTGTTGTCCTCTTCTCTCTTTCTGCCTTTGGTTT